AGAACTAGACTACCGCTGCTTGCTATGTAATGAATGCCAAAGGCATTTCTAGGGTAGCTAATCTGGCATGGACTTTGAGCTACCGAGCATGTTCATTTGAACCGAACACTGCTACCTTGGGATATGGTTCTTCTTCTATATATTTTTATTCTATAAATAAAACACCTTTAATTTTGCAATATAGATAAAATAGAGCATTGAAACTCCCACGGAACCTCTATTCCTGAAGCCTATATCAACTACACAATTTCTGATTAGTATATTGTGAAATATGTATTGACAGGGTGGTGGCCGCAAAGGGACTTGATAAAGCATGACTCACAACCACATGCAGTGTATTTTATGTAACGAGTGTAGCGCTAGAAGTTTCTAAAACATTCATTTCTTCATCGATTTCGTTCAAATTTGGAATATATGTTAATCATAACATATAAAAAAAGTATACGATTGCAAAAGTGTAGATTCATATTTTTAAAAAGTATCGTCCAAACAGAGATTCGAACCCTTGTGCTCACAACAGTCTAACCTGGCTCACCTAGTAATCCATTAACATGATACCAATACCCCTCTTATAAGAGACCCAGGTTATTCTATATAAATAAGGGATTATAATGTCTTCATCCTGACCGAATGCAAAACAACTACAGCTTCAGATGGTGTTTTCATGCGCGATGCCTGTTATTGTTCTCTACAACAACCTGAGGACGTTGGTAAATAACCTATTGACATATTTATGGAAGCTGTCATATTCACATTGCATTTCTTACAGCTGGGTATATTATCTCTGATTCGCTTACGTAGATGGATATTCAGTAAAATGTTTAATATTATTAACAGGAAATAATGATATAAAATAGTCTTATAGCCGTTGGAATTTCCACATAATATTTGGTGTCTATAAGGTCGTTACATGTCTCAGTTTCATGTGTAAGGGCATCCTCAGTATTATAGTAAGCATAATTTGACTCTGTTTACAGCAATATGTCACCAATACCACGATGGTACACTCAGAGATGGGCTTCACGCATTGTACCCATGAGCAGAATCAAACCAGGGCTTTCGCCGTGAAGAGTTTACATTTTAACTACAGTGCTACCTCGGCCGCTACAGGGCTACCCCATCACGTATTTAAGAACTGGGGGCGGTGGGGTAGCCTAGTGGTTAAAGCGTTGGCTCGTCACGCTGAAGACCCGGGTTCGAATCCCCACATGGGTACAATGTGTGAAGCCCATTTCGGGTGTCCCCCACCGTGATGTTGCTGGAATATTGCTAAAAGCGGCGTAAAACCAAAACTCAGTCAGTCAGTCAGTCAGTTTTAGAACTGACGGTTCACACCGTATGTTTACGACACAGTATGGAGTGATGAGTTCGAAATCAATTCAGCCTATCTTTGCTGTAGACGACATGTTCAGCAGGATATTCGTTTTATTGTTAATCTGTGTCATTCTCTGGGGTATGCACGGTTAGATTTATACGTATACCCATAAAATGTCTGTCGTTGATGTTATCGGACGACATGTTCAACAGACAGGATATGCGTTTTTAACTTATCGGACTCTTAATCTTTCTCATTCTCTGGAGTAAGTTAGGTATTTATATATACTCATTATATGTTTGTCGTTGGTGTAGGCAGGTTCCCGCCCAGTCTTTTGTGTTTACGGTTACTTCAACATGTGTTGTGATTGCTTTTACTCTGAATTTATCATCACGCTTGTGCTTACCAATATGTGTTATAAGATTTGTGGATTTTGAGCAGGAAAGGATATCCGCAGAGTTAAACTGAAGCCGATATCATTGTGTTGAATCATAGATGTAAACCCATGAAGATCCGAACTAGAAACAGTCTTCAGCGACCCGAGCTTGTAAAAGGCGTCTAACGCGATCGGGTGGTCGGTCAGGCTCGCTGACTTGATTGGCACATGTCATCGTATCCCAATTGTGTAGATCGATGCTCATGCTGTTGATCACTGGATTGTTTCGTCCAGGCTCGATTATTTACAGATCGGCGTCATATAGCTGGAATATTGCTGAGTGGGCGTTAAACAACAAACAAGCAATCATAGATGTAATATCCTCACAGGTGCGTGAATGAGTTGATGTGGTTCTCCCCTCTTTTAGCAATATTCCATGAATATCACGGCCGAAACGGGCTTCCTACATTGTACCCATGTGGGGAATCGAACTCAATGTGAGCGAATATTTTAACCACTAGGCAAGCAACACTACCATCCTCCTCACGTTAAAATATTAACGCAGTAGTGTGTGTATGAAGATGATTTACGATAAATGTTTTCATTTTATTTTATTTTTAGATTCATAAACAATAAATACATCCTTCTAAAGAGGTAAATCAGTTGTTGATGTGTCATATATTTTGTCAAGATTTTATCAGAAGGGATAGTATAGTTCCTTGTTGAAACCCAGCTGTGATCGGTTTACAATTCCTATAATGCATTAGTATTTATGTTCATAACAAGAATAAATTATTATATATTTAGCACAATTATGTGTTTGTCTTGCTTTGTTAGGACTAAGTATGTGAAAGCATATTATCTAACATGACATAAATATGATGCCCATAGAATATACAACCGAGAATATACCTAAATCTGTTAATTACTTGATAATCCCAGGCATTGGTGTCTTTATTTCACAACTTTTGAAATACAATCAAGCGTGCCCTTCCTGTGAAGATCTCAAAAGGAAGTCATATGAACTGTGAACCAAAGTTCAAGTGAGTGAGTGAGTGAGTTTAGTTTTACGCCGCACTCGGCAATATTCCAGCTATATGGCGGCGGTCTGTAAATAATCGAGTCTGGACCAGACAACCCAGTGATCAACAGCATGAGCATCGATCTCCACAATTGGGAACCGATGACATGTGTCAACCAAGTCAGCGAGCCTGACCACCCGATCCCGTTAGTCGCCTTTTACGACAAGCATAGTCGCCTTTTATGACAAGAATGGGTTGCTAAAGACTTATTCTACCCCGGATCTTCACGGGTCCCAAAGTTCAAGGCCTCGATAAAGCTAATAGGGTTGCAGATTCCAAATTTGATGCATCACAGACATAAAATATGCCCGTTGCAATTAATCGTTTGATTTGTGGCGTAGGTTACCGTGATTGTTTCAGGTGATTGATTTCCCTGTCTTTGCATGTGTTTGTGACGTGTACCAGTTTCGAACACCTGATATCATCACTATTTGATTGTGATTCATGAATACATGATTTTGATATAATCAGAATCTGATAGATGAATCTGTTTTAAGGGATCACTATTTGTTTTGTTCCTTGTGACCGCAGCTCATTATAATTTCGCTTACAATATACACTAAGTTGACATTACAAAACAGCCACTACGTTATATCTTTGAGTTCGCTAAAAACACGTTCTCTAAAGACGTAATTAACTATATTTCTTATGATTATGAAAAGAAAATTGTTGCTTATGTTAGGATATTTTCCGATTTAACATAGTGAACCATATTTTAGTCTACATACATGACAGCTGGTGTGGTCAGCGTCCCCGTGCCCGTCACGGTCGAGTGAGGAGGTACCGACCAACCTGCAGCTTGGTTTCGTAATTAGACTGTTGGCGAGAAACATTAATCGTTCTGGATCAGTGGCCCTTTAAACACTCTGGACAGTGGCCCTTTAAACACGTAGATCAGTGTGTTTAAGTCCATCTAATCAAACACTGGATCGAATGTTATTTTTTCTTAGGACGCTAATATGTCGTAATCATATGGCAGAAAAACGGACTTACCTTTGTTGATAAACATTCACTACAGTGATTGATTTACACATGGAACTATTTTTATATATGTTTCACTATCAAACATGTTATATTTCAGAGCCAGGCACCTAATCACCAACACACAAGTCAGCCGCCTCATGTGGGTGTTCGAATCTGTTATGGGACTCAACCCAGCAAAAGTACTATAGTCTGTACTTAACTTCGAAAGTGTCATCCCAAAATATAACATTTGTCACATTTGACCACTTTCTTTACATTGGGTATTCATCATTCACAACGTTAATCAATTGTGCCTTTGAGTATATGGACTTGGTTTTGTCTGAAAGATTATTAGGCAAGCTAAATTTCTCTGTTCATTAGATCCTTGTCAGCTACAAAGGGTAGGGCGGTATATTTATACACATATACGGCCCCTGGCTGAGATTTGGTTGTCGCCCTCAGTGTCAATATATGAAGGATGCTGAAGTATCTGTGGTATTTCACTGACAAACTAGGTTAACTATGCCAGATCCCAACAACCAATACACCTATATCAGAAAAAACCTCACGAACCAACCCCAGCATTAGTTTGTTGAAGAACATTTACGTGAACACCTGGTGTCAGACTTTGTTTTCGGTGTTCCCTTCACATAATTGCATCGCTGTTTTCTCTTTTTCACGAATAATTTGATTATCAACTTTGACGTCATATATTTAACATATGGTAGTTTGGACCTGATTTGGTTTTTCATCGTAAACATTTATGTTGTTTATACACAACAAGTTCTGTCTTTTAAAATTTAGATAAGCTTGCAACTAACAGTTTACTCTTTTTCTTTTCTATGTTAAATTTGTACCGTTGTTCAGGGGTGGAAATAACCCATTGCCCGACGTCCGAGTCCAGTGTTCTTTTCTGTCGGGCAAGCAGATTTGTATATCACACTTTACCGGTGTCCAGTTGACTTTCCAATGTTTATTATGTTGTTTATTTAAAAAATCAGCAAAAAAACGGTTGGTATAGTGGGAAAATAATCAGGGCAAGTGACTTTACATGTGCCACTGTACCGGAGTACACTATCAATTTTAAACTTATTTCCACCCCCTGGTTGTTATAGGCCAGTCAACAAGTAGGTCAGATGGCCTGGTTCGTTATTCTCGGAACTTTAATGTACTGTTATGTTCCTGAAAGTATTGTTACATTGGAAGCGTGTTAAAGTATTTGATATTTGTTTAAATTAATACAATTTTACTCTTCATCTTGCAGGTGACCTCTGATATCCATATTGCAGAATTCAGACGGAGACTCCAGGAGCTGAACAATGCAGCGGGGATAAAGCACACGGAATTAAACCCTCATATTGCTTTAAGGGTGCAAGGAAACGATTAAAGGGTATCTGAAGATTTGTGACATAGGGATAACAACGACTGCGATTGACGAGGTGCACGAAATATGCTGCAGGGGATAAGACAAGGTGCCAATAAGTTGTAGTGCCGTAGCAATACGACGTGTTTCTTGTGACGACGGGGAACACTCCTCCTAAAACGCCATCAGTGTCAACATTTGATAACGGAACACGCCAGTGTTCAAGATATATACTGTCTTGCTAGACGAAGCAATGAAACCCAGCACATCTGAATGATCGTGGAGTATCTGTGACTTGCCTGCGAGTGTATTCAAATGCCTGGTTTACGGCTTACTAAAGAAAAGTGTGCTGTTGCACAGCTCGAGAGGACATACGAGGAATAGGACGCTTCTGTGCCATGAAGTGGTGTTTACCGTTCACGATGATTCAAAGGAAAAAATACAAATACATGTGGATTTTACCTGTGTTGATGATCTGTACAACACCTGTAATAGGTCAGAGTAGGGCCTACTGTAAAACGAACAGCTGTAAATGTAACAATGGACGAAAACCTACAATTAATTGCTCAGGAACGGATACCATTACATCTATACCAAAGGACCTATATCCCAATATTCGGGTTTTGTAAGTAGCTTTACAGTGTCATATTTGATGAGTGAGTGGGTCAGTGAGTGAATGAGTGAGTGAGTGAGTTAGAATATATAGTCACATTGGTAATATTTCAGCCATATCGTGTCTTTCAAAGTTATAATTCATAATAACGCAATTAAATTATTAAAAAACTGTCGACGAAGGACAGTAAAACAACTAGATTATCACAGATATGAATTTAAAACTAGTAATTAAATCTGAAACTGTTTCAACTAAAGAAGACAATACAATATCAAAACAGGCTGTAGATCGCCAACAACTGAAGGTAGATCACCATACCAAGAGCCATGGGGACTTACAGTACCTTTGCTACCTACATAAACCCTGCCGCTAGCGATTGTAGTAACATTTATCCATTATTAAACTCACAAACATACTACGCTTTAAACCTGGTAAGTGTTACATTGACTTTGAAGTTTTGGGACCTATGTACCCTTTCAGGAGGACAATACTTTTACACTACTTCAACCCCCTTCGGGGATACAGCCGCCAACAATCTCAGTTACTAATTTAAACTACTACTACTAAAATATGTATCTATATACAAATCATATCAATAGCGATTGTAGTAACATTTATCCATTATTAAACTCACAAAAATACTACGCTTTAATCCTGGTAAGTGTTACATTGACTTTGAAGTTTTGGGACCTATAGTTTGGCATGAAATGCAGGTGGGACCTATAGTTTGGCATGAAATGCAGGTGGACCCGTTTTTTTGTAAATATCTCTTCATCGAATGACCCAATCGATCTCAAACTGTGCAAGTGGATGTTTTGTCAGACAACCTAATCACATTGTAAATCACCGATTTTATGCATTTGTATTAAAGAATCTGTCTATGTAACTGTCAACAAAATAAACAGCAGAACGCAGAATGCTTGCAGAGGGAGGGAGCCAATGACCTGTAACAGCGGCAGTGTTGGGTCATAAAGGTCAATGCACGTCAATGCAGTTCATGATAGTTACCTGTGCACTGCAAAGTGATAGACCGTTTGGATCATTCACATTGACTACTTCTAGCTGTCATCATGAAAGCTTATTCAGATGATGCTAAACGTTTAAATAGAAATGTGTTGAATTTTTTTTAAAAAGAGAGCAAACGTAGCAAACCGATTTATAAGGTGTCGGATTACATGAAACGTACAACTTTTGCTCTTGGCATGGAAAAGAGCATCGTGCTAAAAATTGTGAAAAATAAACGAATAAACAAAACCTTGTACAAAAAGGTAGGCATCCAAAGTTAGATTCTTTTGACATCAGGGTCATCAGAGATGTCATTCGCCGGCTATTTGCAAAATTTAGAGATTTTAACCTACAGAAAAATTCTCACTAATGGGTTTTGTGGTTAATGTTGAACAACTCAGAGAAACAAACTCCGTATGATGGTTAACAGTTGGCACCCATCTTACCCTATTCACGACCTGTGACACCTCTTCATACCTGTCACGTGCATAGCTGACCTACATTGACGTGCATTGACCTTTATGACCCAACACTGCCGCTGTTACAGGTCATTGGCTCCCTCCCTCTGCAAGCATTCTGCGTTCTGCTGTTTATTTTGTTGACAGTTACATAGACAGATTCTTTAATACAAATGCATAAAATCGGTGATTTACAATGTAATTAGGTTGTCTGACAAAACATCCACTTGCACAGTTTGAGATCGATTGGGTCATTGGATGAAGAGATATTTACAAAAAAACTGGGTCCACATGCATTTCATGCCAAACTATATGTACCCTTTCAGGAGGACAATACTTTTACACTACTTCAACCCCCCCTTCGGGGATACAGCCGCCAACAATCTCAGTTACTAATTTAAACTACTACTACTGAAATATGTATCTATATACAAATCATATCAATAAAAATGTATCAATCGATTATATTTGTTTTAAATATTCGATAATAAAATGATGATTAACATTATTAAAAAGATCCTTAACAGTTTTAACGCTTAAATATTTGTCTCTTGTGATGGAAACATCAATGCAGTCAAGCAGTACATGCTTGACTGTGATTCTCTCATCACAAGGGATAACAAACGGCGGATCTTCACCTTTCAATAAGTATTCGTGGGTATATCTTGAATGACCAATACGACATCGTCGTATAATGACCTCTTCAAATCTGGACTGACAACCCAAGTAGTGTAACCAATATAGAGTTTTATTTCATGTCATTTATTTACACCTACTGGGGTGTCCCACTTCTTTTGCATGAGATCAAGGATGTATGATCTAATGACAGCTTTGTAATCAGAGTAGGGGATGAGAAGTGGTGTCACAGAGTTGTTGATTGCTGCCGTGGCAGCAAGATCGGCCATTGTGTTCCCAGAAATGCCAACGTGGCTGGGTAACCAACAAAAGACGATGTGGCATTGGCCAGTAGCAAGATCATAATGTAATTCAATAATTTCAATTGAAAGTAGATGTTTGCAAGAAAGATTTTTAATAACCTAGTAGAATCTGAATAGATTATATATTGTTTATATTTTGGGTGTTTATTAATATATTTTAAGGCTGTTTATAAGGCGTTTGCTTTAGCTGTGAACATTGAGCTGTGATCCGGTAATCTGGAAGATATTGTTCTGGATCGAAAGAGTGAGTGAGTGAGTCGGTGGGTTGGTGAATGAGTGAGTGAGTGAGGTTAAGGCAGCAGTTGGCAGTGTTCCAGCAACATCACCGAAGGCCACATCAGAAATAGGCTTAATTTATCGTGTGGGAAATTGAACAAGGCTCTTGGGCGTGACGGGCGAACACATTAACTCCTAGGTTACCCCACCCCTCGCTTCGGTTTGATCCACATAGCTATGCACTTAATGACCAAATTGCACATACCATGCACAGTAACACACACGTTTTACTCGAATTCTTCTTTAGACCCAGATCATATAGAGGAATGGAAAATGGTCACCATGGAAAATTGTCATTATAAGGTTCTTTCGAATAGGTCAGTTTAAAACCCCAGAAGTGTCAAATAAAAAAAAAACCCTGATATTTTATAAATCCAACAAAATCATATAAATAGTTCATTCACTATCCCTCACAGTGACACTAATGTGGTTGACAAAATTCAGGGAAAACATCGCTTTCTTCCCAAGAGCCTCGTTGCCTCCGCATCATTCTTGGTGCCTCAGGTTTGGTACCTCCCAAGCTGTCACTCTGGGTAATGCAGACGGATGCATTGTTTCGGGGTCTTCAAAATGGTGGGATGGAATGGTATCTCAAGAGTATCCGGAGAAGTCACATTCGCTCTCTGGGTTGCGTGCAGACAGAACAAGGGTTCTGACGATAAGCCTGTCCAGCGCGAAAGTGCCACAGTCGACCGAAATCGTTTTACTGAAAACAAGTTTAGTCTGTCAATAATAATACTTGCTAATAATAATGGAGTTAGTAAGCGATTGTTACATAACGGGGTGGTGAAGCATCCAAGTGGTTTAAGTGATCGCTTATCACGTCGAGGACCCGGGTTCAATTTCCAACATTGGTACATTTCGTGAAGCACATTTCTGGCGTCCCCCGCCGTAATTTTGTTGGAATATTGCTAAATGCGTCGCAAAACCATACTCACTCAATATTTTTACGCCTCTATCTTCAACTACGGGCACGGGTTTGCTGTCGAACCTAAACATACAATCAGGTGAACATGGATCTGAACCCACTTTATCTGAGATTCTGAGATACATAGGCAACTATGTACAGAGACTTCCAGCTAAACTTGACGCTATATTCTTAACGACACGTACAATCAACAGATCGAATGCAATATATTACAGTATTACAACCAAATAAATGAAACATCATCGTTATTTTTTTCTTTTCAGATCACTGACTGATACCAAGATAACAAGAATACAAGAAGAAGATTTTAGCACTGCAGAGACTATAGTGACCCTGTGAGTTACCGATAGATACATCAAGCCTGGAACTGTTACACATGGTAGATTCCAAATGTGTCGTACATGAATGTAACGCTGTAACGTCATTGTGGCGAGGTGGGGAATGTCTTGGTCGTTGTTAACATGAGCTGCACTTGTAAACAAGCTTGAAGAAGGTGGAACCCAAATACCTGGTGTCTTCACTTATTTTCAGTGTTCTATTCATAAATATTTTCGATACTTCCAGATTTGTTTAACAACAAAGGCTGCAAAATTGCAAAATTACGTGTAAGCACATGTGTTTGATAACGTCGATATTCTGAATACCTGAAATTAACCATACCCCCTAACCCCCACCCCAAAAAGGAAATCTGGGTCGTCGACGCTAACATTACTTACTTTGTGTGTGTGACAATGTGATACTCATACTGGAAGATGTGTAGCTGATCCCAGTGTTTTAGCAATTTTACAACGTTAGACAGTGACAACATATTATGGTCTAAATATGTTTAAGATCGTGTGCAAAATGTGTTCAGGTGTTCTTAATGTGGGAGAGACCCGTCTGTAGTCACTTAACGTATTTACAATGAATCCAGCATATGCACATTCAGTTTAGAATTTAAACACATTTCCAAACTTGTACGCCTGGTATATGTTTGTATTCGAACCCATTGTTGCGACGTGGAGCTAAATAAGCAGTACAAAAAGATCGACGAGTTAGGGATATCAAATCAAGAGTTCTATTTTGTATCAACAGTAAACCTGTCGTCTTTCATGCATTATGTGTTTGTATATCTGTTTCAGATTCTTGCAAAACAACGAGATAAATTACATTCATCCCAAGGCTTTCCGGAACCTATTCCGCTTACAAACACTGTGAGTAAATCTGTCACTCTCTTCAGATTCCACGCTTCTCTGCATGGTTGATGCACCCTTTTATATCCAGCTGAACTGCATGATATTCATGGACAACTGCGTGTTTGGAAATACACAGTCAATATTACCGAAATACACCGTCAATATTCCCGAGTCGACAATCACTATCACATACCTTCCCCTACATGTGGTACTTTGTTGCAGCAGGACCCGAGTTTCACACGTACGTGCAGATGTAGCCAACCAGTACACTACATACTTCCTACATGTCTATATGTACCCATCATTGAACTTACAGATTGTTTACCTGTCATCTAGTCCACATGAAACATCTCCTTGTCATTTGGCCTACCAACACATCACCATCGTCATGTATCTTTCTACATATACATCGTGATGTAATTGTCACGTAGTCTTCACGGGCTAACAGCTACATATACATCGTCATGTACCTGTCACTTAGACTTCACAGGCTAACAGCTACATATACATCGTCATGTACCTGTTACTTAGTCTTCACGGGCTAACAACTACATATACATCGTCATGTTCCTGTCACTTAGACTTCACAGGCTAACAACTACATATACATCGTCATGTACCTGTCACTTAGTCTTCACAGACTAACAGCTACATATACATCGTCATGTTCCTGTCGCTTAGACTTCACAGGCTAACAGCTACATATACATCGTCATCATCCCGTCACTAGTCTTCACGGGCTAACAGCTACATATACATCGTCACTTAGACTTCACAGGCTAACAACTACATATACATCGTCATGTACCTGTTACTTAGTCTTCACGGGCTAACAACTACATATACATCGTCATGTTCCTGTCACTTAGACTTCACAGGCTAACAACTACATATACATCACCATGTACCTGTTACTTAGACTTCACAGGCTAACAGCTACATATACATCGTCATGTACCTGTTACTTAGTCTTCACGGGCTAACAACTACATATACATCGTCATGTTCATGTCACTTAGTCTTCACAGACTAAGAACTACATATACATCGTCATGTACCTGTCACTTAGTCTTCACGGGCTAACAACTACATAAACATCGTCATGTTCATGTCACTTAGACTTCACAGAGTAACAACTACATATACATCGTCATGTTCATGTCACTTAGACTTCACAGGCTAACAACTACATATACATCACAATGTACCTCTTACTTAGACTTCACAGGCTAACAGCTACATATACATCGTCATGTACCTGTTACTTAGTCTTCACAGGCTAACAACTACATAAACATCGGTACCTGTTACTAACAACTACATATACATCGCTATCAACTACATATACATCATCATGTACCTGTCACTTAGTCTTCACGGGCTAACAACTACATATACATCGTCATGTTCATGTCACTTAGACTTCACAGGCTAACAACTACATATACATCACAATGTACCTGTTACTTAGACTTCACAGGCTAACAGCTACATATACAGGCTAACACGGGCTACATATACATCGTCATACCGTCACTTAGTCTTCACGGGCTAACAACTACATATACATCGTCACTACTAGTCTTCACAGGCTAACAACTACATATACATCGTCATGTACCTGTTACTTAGACTTCACAGGCTAACAACTACATATACATCGTCATGTTCATGTCACTTAGACTTCTAACAACTACATATACATCACAATGTCATGTACAGGCTAACAGCTACATATACATCGTCATGTCTTACTTAGTCTTCACGGGCTAACAACTACATATACATCGTCATGTACCTGTCACTTAGTCTTCTTACGGGCTAACAAACATATACATCGTCATACCTGTCACTTAGTCTTCACATAACAACGTAAACATGTCATGTACCTGTCACTTAGTCTTGTCACTTCAGTTCATCTTAGACTTCACAGACTAACAACTACATATACATGTTCATGTACCTGTCACTTAGTCTTCACAGGCTAACAACTATAAACACAACTACATATACATCGTCATGTACCTGTCACTTAGTCTTCACAGGCTAACAACTACATATACATCGTCATGTACCTGTCACTTAGTCTTCACGGGCTAACAACTACATAAACATCGTCATGTTCATGTCACTTAGTCTTCACAGACTAACAACTACATATACATCGTCATGTACCTGTCACTTAGTCTTCACAGGCTAACAACTACATATACATCGTCATGTACCTGTCACTTAGTCTTCACGGGCTAACAACTACATAAACATCGTCATGTACCATGTCACTTAGTCTTCACAGGCTAACAACTACATATACATCGTCATGTACCTGTCACTTAGTCTTCACAGGCTAACAACTACATATACATCGTCATGTCACTTAGTCTTCACAGGCTAACAACTACATATACATCGTCATGTACCTGTCACTTAGTCTTCACAGGCTAACAACTACATATACATCGTCATGTACCTGTCACTTAGTCTTCACAGGCTAACAACTACATATACATCGTCATGTTCATGTACTTCACTTAGTCTTCACAGGCTAACAACTACATATACATCGTCATGTACCTGTCACTTAGTCTTCACGGGCTAACAACTACATATACATCGTCATGTTCATGTCACTTAGTCTTCACAGACTAACAACTACATATACATCGTCATGTTCATGTCACTTAGTCTTCACAGACTAACAACTACATATATCGATCGTCATGTACCTGTCACTTAGTCTTGTCACATATACATCGTCATGTACCTGTCACTTAGTCTTCACAGGCTAACAACTACATATACATCGTCATGTACCTGTCACTTAGTCTTCACAGGCTAACAACAACATATACATCGTCATGTTCATGTCACTAAGTCTTCACAGGCTAACAACTACATATATATCACCATGTACTTGTTGCTAAACATATTGTCATTTATTTAGTCCATATATGGACTAAGTGCTAAAATAGATATTGTCATTTAGACACGACCAAGTTCCTACATGTTAAAATGTACCTGATTTCTCGTCATCACACTTCCAACTGCTCACAAGTCAACATATACTTGCCTTTTAGTCTAAAACACACCACGACGTACAGACTTACATGTATCACCACTAGATGTAACTGATATTCTAACACACTACCAAATACCTACCTGAAACATGTAAACGTCACTCCCTACTAAATATATACCTCTATTTTCTAATTCACTGCAACTTGCCTTCAGTTTGTTAATGTCGTTTCACATGAACACTAAAACAATGTCTACATGTTGTGTGAATGTACGAACAAGATCAATGTGTAATGTGTTTATACCTTCGGGATATGGTATAGTATGGCTACTATACTATGAAGGGTATTTTATACTTTGAAAGACTTCTTTCTGTAGGTCCTTAAACGACCGTTACACATAAAGGAGATGACTATAGGATATCAACATATTTATTATGAGGAACACAGTTACAGCGTATATGATTCATCCTTTTTTTCGAGGGCAAACAACTAGCAGACTTGCTAACTCCTTCATGTGTTATTTCCAGGAACCTGCAGGAAAATGCTCTGACCTCCATACCTGCACCTATGTTCCAGCATCTACCCAGTCTAACAGAGTTGTAAGTTCCACGATGCTTAATACATTCATTCATTCATTCATTCATTCATTCATTCATTCATTCATTCATTCATTCATTCATTCATTCATTCATTCATTCATTCATTCATTCATTCATTCATTCATTCTTGAGAAGGGAGAAATACTGGTTCGGGGTTTTGCAATATTGTGTAAAGTAAACTGTTTTCGCGGTGTAAGGAGCTGGGCTACCAAGCCCTTCCCCCTTCCTTCTGCGAGTAATCTGGATTCAGGTCCCCTCCCTCTAACCGATCGATTGTTCCATCGGTTGGACATCAGAAAACAACAAACTATATGTCTGATTGCCCAGATTAAAAAAACCCAAACAAACAAACCTTTTCAGAGCTGCGATCTGAAAAATACCATGTACTCACAACCAAGCAATCACTTTCTTGGGAAGCAGAACGTTTCACCATAGTTCTGTCTCTATCGGTGAAGCAAGATTATTAATCTGGGTATATTTTACGACTCTTCTTACAGTTGTATCATCACGTCAAGGATATTCACCCATTCCTATTTCCCTTAGATAATTCTACTTTTAGCTCTAAATGAGAAAGTAAAATTGATACTAACTCTGTGCAATTTTCGTTTTCTGGTGAAAAAACCCAAACATCTGTATATACTATATAGTGTGTGTATACATACTATTCGATGCATGATTTTTCAGTAATCTCAGAAAATGTTTAGACCGCCGCTACAAAGCTGGAATATTGCTAAGTGCGGCGTTAAACAACAACCAAACAACCAAGACAGAAACTGATTGAGTAAAGAGTTGTTGTGACTGAGAATCGTCATATCCTGCAGTATTTCAGCAGATATGAGCTTCACACATTGTACCAGTGTGGGGAATCGTACCCCGCTCTGGCGTGACGAGCAAGCGCTTGAACCATTAAGCCGTGACGGTTGTTAGTAGAAAAACAACAAATGTATGGCCCACGAATTCTTGTTGGTTGCATTTAGCGAGGATTGGATGAAGATTCCTTCACCGTTATCAAGCTATATTGAAGGGTAGCTAATGCCAGAAGTTGTTATCCATTAATTGGTACGTTTTCTGATTGACTCTGAAGTGAGTTCATGACTTACCTATTACTTCTATAATTGTTTGGTTGGTTGGCAATATTCAAAGTATAAGGCAGCGATTTGCAAATAATTGAGTCTGGACCAGACAATCCAGTGATGAACACCAGGCATAGAGCTACGCACTTGGGATACGATGACATGTGTCAACCAAGTCAGCGAGCCTGGCCACCAGCCTGGTTCCCTGGGTCTGTTGCGCCTGCGCTACGCTTCGACACTGAGCGTAGCGCAGGCGCAACAGACCCAGGGAACCAGCCTGGCCTGACCACCCGATAAAACCAATATCATGATCACCATTTGTTTCAGAAATTTGATCAAGAACAACATACAGAACATCTCAAGATATGCCTTTGTCACCTTGCCGGCCAACAAGGATGTTAGGGTGTAAGTATTTGCTTGATGGTTGTCATGTTAATCATTGACACACACTACAGGTGAGGTGAGGTGAGGTGAAATTGGGTTTAACGTCGTGCTTGAGAATATTTCGCTCATATGACGACGTGCATGCGTGTGTATGTGTATGTGCGGCTGCTTGTACTAGCCCAGACTGAAGCTGGTTTTATAGTGCTAGCCCACTGAGATACTATGCCGCAGTGAAGCATGAATACCCCATTCAGACAAATTATACTGACTCCGAGCCGACCAGTCCTTGCTGTACCCATTAATGCCGAGCGCCAGACAGGGACCAACAAGCACAATATTTTAACGTCTTTTGGTATGACGCGGTTGGGGATCGAACCTGCGACCTTCCGCTCTCCGGGCGGACGCTCTAACCACTACACCACGGAGGCGGTCGACACACACTACAGAAAGAAATGTGTAATGATCTAGGTACTTGTGAGCACCAGCTACCATGATACATATCTAAAGCATATCGTTCACATGCTCATCATCCGGGTGATCATATTGATTTCAGATAGCTATTCTACCATAACTCATTACGTAAAGGGAACAACCGTTACTCTGTTATTCTGCTTTGTCTATAGTGTTTAGCGGACAATCCTGAGGACAGCAATTCATTGTTCCCTTACCTGTGCCAGGATCTCCTGATTTCGGTTGTAAATTCTAGATTCGTCGGATAATGATTCTTTGTTGGTCAGCACCATATCCCTGCTTGTGGTTTTCTGTTAATTTGTAGATACCCACTGTCTGATTAACCCGATTCACACGCTATATCTGTTATTATTTTCCAGGAAACTTAGCGGCAACCCGGTGCATTGTGGGTGTGATATGTTAGCGTTCAAGAATTGGTTGGACCTAAGAAGTGTTGGTAACATTAAGTTGGAGATTGATGATCTTAAGTGTAGAAATGCCAGAGACACGCCCCTATGGGACGTCCAGGAAGATGAATTCAACTGTGACGGTACGTCGTAGTTATCGCTGGCGCAATACACTCACTCACTCAACCACTTACTCACTGATCTCACTCACTTGCTTAGTTACTCACTCACTCAACCACTCACCCAGCCATTCACGTACTGAATAACCCACTCAATCCACCACTTACTGAAAGTCTCACTCACTGAACTACCCACTCACTCAACCAATCACTCACTCAACTACCCACTCACTCAACCACTCACTCACTGAACTACCCACTCACTCAACCACTCACTCACTGAACTACCCACTCACTCAACCACTCAACTACCCACTCACTCAACCACTCACTCAACCACTTACTGAAAGTCTCACTCACTCACTGAAGTACCCACTCACTCAACCACTCACCCAACCACTCACTCAACCACTCACCCAACCACTCACTCACTGAACTACCCACTCAATCAACCACTCACTCAACAAATTACTCAACCACTCACTCACTGAACTACCAACTCACTCAACCACTCACTCAACCACTTACTCAACCAATTACTTAACCACTCACTCAACCACTTACTCGACCAATTACTCAACCAATTACTGAACCACTCAATCAACTATTCACTCACTGAACTACCCACTCAATCAACCACTCACTCAACCAATTACTCAACCACTCACTCACTGAACTACCCACTCACTCAACCACTTACTCAACCAATTACTCAACCACTCACTCAACCACTCACTCAACCACTTACTCAACCACTCACATAACAGCTCACTCAACCAATTACTCAACCACCCACTCACTGAACCACCCACTCACTGAACTACCCACTCACTGAACTACCCACTCACTGAACTACCCACTCACTGAACTACCCACTCACTGAACTACCAACTCACTGAACTACCCACTCAATCAACCACTCACTCAACAAATTACTCAACCACTCACTCACTGAACTACCCACTCACTGAACTACCCACTCACTCAACCACTCACTCAACAACTTACTCAACCAATTACTTAACCACTCACTCAACCACTTACTCAACCAATTACTGAACCACTCAATCAACTATTCACTCACTGAACTACCCACTCAATCAACCACTCACTCAACCAATTACTCAACCACTCACTCACTGAACTACCCACTCACTCAACCACTCACTCAACCAATTACTCAACCAATTACTCAACCACTCACTCAACCACTCACTCAACCACTTACTCAACCACTCACTCAACAGCTTACTCAACCAATTACTCAACCACTCACTCACTGAACTACCAACTCACTCAACCACTCCCTCAACCAATTACGCAACCACTAACTCACTGAACTCCCCACTCACTCAACCACTTACTCACTCAACCACTCACTCAACCATTTACTCACTCAACCATTTACTCACTCAACCACTCACTCAACCACTCACTCAACAGCTCACTCAACCACTCACTAAACCAATTACTCAACCATTCACTCAACCACTTACTCAACCACTCTTTCACTGAACTACCCACTGACTCAACCAGTCACCCAACCAACCACTCAGCCAACCACTCACTCAACAAACCACTCAACTACTCACTCAACCACTCACTCAACCATTCACTCAACCACTCACTCAACCACTTACTCACTCAACCACTTACCCAACCACTCACTCAACCAGCTACTCAACCACTCACTCAACCACTCACTCACTGAACTACCCAATCATCCTCACACTTGCTGAACTACTCAACCACTCACTCACTCAACCAGGCAACCACTCACTCCATCACTTATTGAACCACTCACTCAACCACTTACTCACTCAACCACTTACTCAAGCACTTACTCACTCAACCACTTACTCACGCAACCACTTACTCACTCAACCACTCACTCACTGAACTACCCACTCAACCTCACACTTGCTGAACTACTCAACCACTCACTCACTCAACCAGGCAACCACTCACTCCATCACTTATTGAAAGCCTCACTCGCTCACTCACTGAACTACCCACTCAACCAACCACTCACTCACTCAACCAGTCAACCACTCACACAGCCAGTCACTCAGCCATTCACTTACTGAACCACTCACTGATGTACTCACTCCACCACTCACTTCGGAACCAGTCACTCACCTAACCACCCATTCAACCTCCCAACGAAATACACATACCTTGAACTCTATCATAGAACTGAATTCTATGACTGCATGTTCTCTCACTTTAGAGGACGATCCATCGGTGTTTGAGGATGACCAGAGTTGCCGGATCTGCCAAGGGATGGCGTCTAGTGAGATGTGTGACCGGCAAGGACAGTTACAAGAATGTTCGTCTGATGACGTGAGTGTACACTATTGTTTGATTCCCGATGATAAACGAGTGATTGCCGACTACCTTATATTCCATTTCATGACGGCATGTGTAGCCCGGGCCTTGACCAGGCAAACAGCAATGCACAGATGATGAATAGCAGTACACAAGGGCGTATCTACGGAAATCAACGCCTATGACAAGCACTGTTTTTTTTCGTTTAATATTTATATCAACGGCTTTAACACAAAGTGCTCAGTGGTGCCCCTCCAAGTGGCGCCAGGGCACCTGCCATAATTCCCATACCCTAGGTACGCCACTGGCAATACACGTCAGGGTACTGCGAGTTCTACTCTTACACTGATAAAATGCCCCTGAAGAGATCGGCCTCGTTAACGTACCTAAAGTTACAAAAAGATTCTAGCTAATTGTGGTCATAGTGCTTATATAACATTTGAGAAGCCACCCAGTAACTGCTATACTAACAAAGCATAATCAAAGTAATATACTAAGTTGTTACGACGTAAATTGTAATAAAAACGCAATTGTAATACTTTCAGCAAATTGTAATAAAAATTGACGTAAATTGTAATACGCAAATTGTAATAAAAATTGACGTAAATTGTAATAATTTTAGTTGCTGCAAGTATTACAATTTGCGTTTTTATTACAATTTACGTCGTAACATAAGTAAATGATTCAATTAAGAAACAGTTATGAAATACACAATGCCATATAGAAAGTGGCCAAATGTAACATATGTTATATTTGGGATTACATTCTTTGTAAAGTACAGATTCTAGTACTTTTGTTGAGTTGAGTCCCATCCGGTACGATATATACTTTGTGTGCTGGCGATTAGGTGCCTGGCTCTGAGCTCGAGGGTGTTGGTTCGAGTCCCGGATGGGACTCAACCAAACAAAAGTACTAGATGTGTAATCCCAAATATAACATATGTTACAAGAAACAGCGTTTTCTTACAAACCCACTAATACATAGTATTGTATTGTATCATGATTATTGTCTGTAATATTTATCTAATAAGAGGACATACGACTTTTCTTCTGAGTCTGAGCGTTAGTGCGAGTAAACCGTGTTTTGTTAATAAAGATGTCTTTCAAATGTAAGCAATCCCACCAAGAAGATTGCAGCTTCAGAACTTGTGCAGGGATCGAGTTAATGAGTGCACATCAATCCCAGAATTCCTGTATGGGGTTGGGTGGAACATTCTACTTAACAAAGAATTTTTATTGATCTCTGAAAGGTAGTAGAACTGCGAGGACTATATCAATTTCCTTTATCCAATTAAATAACTGAGTGCTTGAATTTATTATTCAATTATAAATGTATGATTTATGATCATGGTGATATTAACATAATTTATTGAATTTAATCAAATTGGTTATTGTGACTTTTTTCCCGTGACTCCTAGCCAAAATTGTGACTTTTTATCCCTGACTTTTTCCCTGTGACTTTCTTTCCGATCACCACCCTAGCAACCCAAAAGGACTGTACAGCTCAGTTTTATATTTGTAACACTTATCGCATTTTGGATTGAATATGTTTCTCTGCTCCTCTCTTGAACCTCAAATTTCGAAATTTAAGGCCATAATAATGTAATTAACAGATATTTATCTCAGTTTCGATATAAGACCCCCTTTGTAATTTATTTTCCGTCTTTGTCATGCTCAATTCGTCACACTCGAAACTAGAATCCGATATCTTGTTTACGACTTTGAACCTTCAGCACACCGGATATTGCAGTCAAAAACGTCATCGTATGGCTTTTGATGAACGAGCAGGAGATAACAAACCTGGTCAAAGAAAATATTACATTTAGGAAAAAACCAGACATGGTGATTTACCACTTCAGCAGTATTCCCTGTTCCTCTTGGCATTTTTACATAGGCAGGGGCGTTTAGGTCTACTTTCGGCTACAGTCACTATGCTTAGATGGGTGTATGTGTGGCTGTTCATGCAAACGAGTTGACCGTTGAATGTCTTCACGGGCCCCTTTTCACAAAGCTATCGTAAGTCTATGTTACAGTATAGGAGGAGATACGGCAGTCGTAGCGCTACGATAGCTTAGTGAAACGGGGCCAAGGTCTTGATAAACTCTGTCAAAAAAGAAACGCAACCCCTGTATTTTAGAGATTTTGATCTGAAGTTTTAGGACGACACGGCATTTTTATTATTTAAGACAGAAGTCTGAAATTTGGCAGAATAATAACCCAGATGGGCATGTTTAAAATTGTCATTTCAAAAGTCATCTCACAGACACCAGTTTGTCACCAGGGGGGCGTCTGTCTCAGTATCTCGTATGAGCACCACGCGCTGCAATCACTGCACGGCATCTCCTTGGACAAGAACGGATAAGACGCCGGATTCTTTCCTGGGGAATGGCTCTCCACTCCTCCTGCAGTGCAACGGCGAGCTGTTGCAGCGTCTGTGGCGGCGGCTGACGTTGACGTACGCGTCGATCCAGAGTATCCCACAGGTGTTCAATAGGGTTGAGGTCTGGTGATTTAGAGGGTCATGGCAAGACATTGACGTTGGAATTCTGCAGAAAGTTCATTGTTGCACGTGCAGTATGAGGCCGGGCGTTGTCCCGTTGAAAAATCTGTGTCTGTTGGTCAATAATCGGGAGAAGGTGAAGCTCTAACACGTGGTTGATGTAACGTTGGGCTGTCAGGTTCCCTGGAACGATCACCAAGTCAGATTTCTGGTTGTATGAGATGGTTCCCAAACCATGACGCTTTCTCCGCCAAATCTGTCCACCTGTCGGACGCAGATGGGCGCAAAACGTTTATGACGTCTCCTATACAGACGCTGTCTTCCGTCGTGACGTTGCAAAAGAAAACGTGATTCATCAGAAAACCAGATTCGCCTCCAGTTTTGTAAAGTCCGTATCCTTACGTTGTTGCACCACCTGAGTCGTCGGCGTCGATGTAGGGGCGTAGTACAGGTCCAACAACTGGTCTACAGGCACGTAAACCCGCTTCTTTCAGACGGTTCCTAATCGTTTGAGCTGACACTCTCCTCAAACCTGGTATTTGTGTGGCAGTCACGGTTGGTAGGGCATGCCGATTACGCAGGTGATGGACCCGGATGTACCGATCTTGAAGGGGGTCGTGATTCTTGGCCTTCCACTCTCGGGCGATCGTTGGTCAAATTGAAGTTGTTGTAGCGGCTCCAAAGTCGGGATATCGTTGTTTTTGTGAACATTTAGGTGCCGTGCAACAGTTCCAAAACTTTCTCCGGCTTGAACACGACCAATGGCGATATTTCGGTCGGCAGCACTCAATCGTGGCATTTTTAACACAGCTTTCGGCGACAAATGAATGAATATAATACGGAAGCACATGGGCTTTATACACCCCTACATTAACTGCCATTTTCATGATTTGCATGTGTTTTTTGTGCGAAGTCACCATGAGGGTCATTTCATGCGTTGTGACGGAATAAGCAATAAAATACACTTATGCGTACAAATGCAGTTGTTTGATGGTAATCTTCATTAATTACGTGTATCATTTCAATACATCTGAATAAAATTTAGTTTGGAAGCAATAACTTCATTCAAACGAATTTTTCATATCTGAGGACAGGGGTTGCGTTTCTTTTGACAGAGTTTACACTGATTAACAATCACAGATCTAATAAAGATTACTTATTTAACACAAACGCGTATTATCTGAGATTCCTTTATTCGAGATAACATTATTGGAACATAAGTGTTGAATTACTTCATTTTCCAGAAATGCGAATTTGATCTATTTCAAGGCATACATGTCATGTTCGAATTGTATTGTAATCTTTCTAAACGAGTTTAGAGATAAACTGAATGATTTAAGCCTAACGTGTACGTTTCAATAGTGTAGACCGACACTACACTGATCAATGTTCAACTATCGGCGCGACTGTCAAAAACAAAACCACATACAACCATGGAAAATGAGTATATATATATATATATCAGCAACGTCCTCGAACGGGCCAAGAAGGGCTCAATTGTCGACGAAAGACGACGTTCTACCCCAGTGCATATAAAAAGTTGATCTGCCAGACTCATGGAAGAATACCTCAAGGTTTGGAGTGTGTGGTACTGGTAACTAGACATAGGTGGAAAACCAACCAGGTCATCATTTGGACTGACAATTTCTATATTACAATCAATTACAATGAATACAGTTGTAATAAAGACGTTGTTAATCCATGTGTATTATCCTCCCTTAATTGATCTACAGACTCGTGCCAGTTATATTCGGACACCACGTAATTTCCATAGACGTACATGTTATTTCAGTGTAGCATATATCATTTACATGAACATTTCACTATTTAACTAGTGACATCACATTTATCAACTTACGTATGGTTCCACAATGCACAAACCCATAGCCCGCCATGTTAAAGGATTTCACAGCACTGTACGTATGTTGATTAAATTGTTGCCATTCGATAAATAAGCAACGAAAAAAATTAAACAGAAATCATGTGATTGCAGGTAAGATAATTCCTCACAAATGTGCAATATTTGACTTGGATCTTACGAAGTTTAAATTCATGAAAATTATTTATGGTACACTAAATTAACAAGTAAGCCTATGGGAGTTACATCAAGTGTCCGAATATAATTAACTGGCAAGGGTCTGTAGTTTGCTCTCTGCCTTCCACGACATCGGCGATGTGAAACCAGCGTGAGGTTATTTCAGGGACTGAACCTTGTGGTTATCAGAGCCAGGTCATCGACTCCAGTCAAAGTCGTCTAAGAGCTTCTGGAAGAATGGCAGGGAAGGGCATACCTCAACAAGTGATGTACGAGGATGGGTTTCATTTCTCACTGCCTGTTACCCTTATTGTCTGCAATCAACACGATATCCTAGGCAAACCAACTGTCAACTAAAGGGTTGGCAAACCACATCACGTTTGCCCTGATCCCAGTCCTCGAGGATCGTGAGAAATCAAATCAGAAGAAATCGCATTCTCGCAAGGGCAATATGGAAGTGTACAAGTTAATCCAGAGGACC